TCCTCCTGCTCATCCCGCTCATGCTGTTCCTCCTGTTCCAGTTACTGCTCCTTCTATTTCCTCATCATCATCCTCTTCATTATGCTCATCCTCGTGTTCATTCGCCATCTCTTCCACTGTACAAAGCCATGTTTTCTGGTCATCGAATGCCTTTCGGCCCATCCCGCCACTGTGTCGGGGCTGTGGATATAAGGCTTGTTGGATGTCTGTTGGGACCTCGTGGGAGGTTTTTCGGGGGCTTCTTGGAAGCAGTTTGGACGCCTCGTAGGGGGCCTCTTGGGTCATCTTGTGGACCTCTTCGGTGCCTCTTGAGGCCTCTTGGGGCCTCCTGGGCGCCTCTTGGGGCCTCCTCGGGGGCTCTTGCTGCGGAAGGCTCCGACGGTTCGTGCTCCCTCTTCGGGGCCGCTGTCTTTGGGCCGTATCGGGCCGCTGTAGTAGGGCACTCTTGGAGGCATGTTGGGCCGTGTTGGGGCGGTCTTGGGGGCCTCTAGCGCTGTCAGGGAGCGTCGGGAAGCCGAAAAGGCGAGAACGCCAAAATCTTTTTACTATTAAGAAATGTGGTTGCCCTATTGGAAGGCCTTTGGGCCGTCTGGGGGCCATCTTGAGCGTCTTCGAGCGATATCGTTCGGCGATTTGGGGCATCCTTGGACCGTCTTGGGGGTTTGGGGGAGCCATTTGGGCCCGTCTTGGAGCCCTTTTAGCCCCGAAAAAAGTCACGCAACCAGAAGCGGGGGAACCCAGGGGAACGGCAATAAGCTCAAGAGAAACCGGGAATTCGGGGTCCAGACCCTTTCATAATTCCTCAGGAGTGGGGACTGAGGCTTTCTGGGGACACGCCCTCTCCGTGCCCAGCGGCACGGTGGCGCAATTTGGGTACCAAGGTCTTCTGGGACACCCCAGTCGGCGGAGAAGAAATAATGAATTACGCGTCGCGAAGGTATCCCACCAGCCCACCCAGAAACGGTGTCCAGGCAAGTGTCCTTGATCAGCAAAATGCAGTAGCAAAGAGTGGAGCAAAAGAGGGAAGCAGCTGTCAAACCAAAGCTCAAGATTCGCGGCGACTCCCAAGCTTCGGTTTGACGGCCTGAGCAGGCCTACGAGTCTGCCATGAATGCATTCGCGGACCTTTCGATATGGCAGCCTCCCGGCAGCTTATTTGGGCCCTCTTGGGGCCAGTGTGGAGGCCGTTGGGTGCTCTCTTGGAGGCCATCCTTTGGGGGGCATCTGTGAAGCAATCGACCAAGAGAGAGTCTTCTGTGTGCGCCTAACTTGTGTAAAATCCCAACCTCCACCGCTCTGGAACCGCACCCACCCCCTTCGGGCGGGTCACTTCATGGCCGTCGTGGGCAAGTCGGGCGGGCGGGCGGGCGGGACACGTCGTCGTCGTCGTCCTCGTCGTCGTTTGCTGGCGGGACACTTGTCGACATCGTCGTGGGCGGGCGGGCGGGGCACGTCGTCGCCGTCGCCGTCGTGGTCCGATCGTCGTCCTCGTCGTTCGCAGGCGCTGGGGTCAAGGAGGTCAAACCCGGAGGAGTCGAGGAGGAATCGAGAAGGAGGAATCGAGGAGGAATCCGGGGGGAGAAATTGATTTCCCCCCAGCGTATTCAGAAGCGCTCTTTCCAATGTCAGCCCCCCCCGTCGGAGCCCGGTAATTCGCCTCTTGGCCGCTCTTGGGCGTTATTTGGGGTCGTCCTGTATCCCTCTTGTGGCTTCTTGGGGCGAGCTTGGAGCCATGACTCGTCAAATCCAATCGGAAGCGACAAGGTAATAATTCAAACGTAAGTTGTTGTCCTTAGGTGTATCCTTAGATGCTGGTAATTAGGATTTGGGCCTCTCGAGACGTCCTTGAAAAGCTCCGTGGCCACTTGGAGCCGTATTGGGGCGGTCTTGGGGCCTTTTGGAAGCATGTTGGAGACCATCTTTAACCATCTTGGGCTAGCTCGTGCTATCTTGGAGGCCACCATGAATATTGTGCCATCTTGGGCCATCTAGGACACTCTGACCGCTCGCGCCCCACCCACCCCTCCAGACCCAGGGGAGCGGGAAGGGGGAGGGATCGAGCTACCCGCGAGCCGCAAGCCGTCTCGATCATTCCCACCCGCCCCCCTAATACAGAAATAGAACACACGAGTCTGAGCACGGGCAGAGGCCGCCATCGAGAACCAATGCAGACGCCAGCCAGGTGCGCGACGCCCGCGAGGTGCGCCGCGCGTGCCAGGGCACCTCCAATTTCTCTGCCAAAAGATGTATCATGATCGCGGGGACCCGCCCAGGTCCAAAATTCTGCCGCCACGTACACTTGGCGTGTGTTTTCGGCGGCGATGGTGGGCCTGCACACGTGAGGCAAAATGCTACCCCCCCCCTCGTCCCTGTCAAAGAAGCCACGTGAAGTGATCGCGGGGCGCCCGACCTGATTCAGATGTTGTCGCCAAGTGCATGTCGTATGGAAGGCGGGGGGTAAATTTTGGCCTGGTTAGGGGCCGGTAGAGTGGGGGAGGGGGTGTATAACAACACGGAGCACTGATCAAGTTACCCCGAAGGGCGGCCGCAAGCCGCCTCCTCCATTCTCACCCGCCCTCCCACCACACAATTTGTTTTATCTGCGGGGCGAGAGCGAACCTCTTCCGCTAAAAGCTAGGCGGGCTACGCACAGCTTTAATTAGGGAGACAGGGCACAGCCCTCCCTCCACACAAGCAGCACCCGAGTCCCCAGCGCCGAGTGCGCCGGCGCACGCGACCACGCAACCACACACAGCGGGAAGCATGTCGGCCCCGCCACCTTCGATGGAGCTCCCTCCAGGGCCACGAAACGTTGTACTGGGCGGGGGGTGGCGCAAGCGGGCGCTCCCTCTAGGGCCACGAAACGCTGTACTGGGCGGGGGGTGGCGCAAGCGGGCGGTGCCCTGGCATCGCTCGGACGTGTGCATTATTTCTCGGCGAGGACCATTGAGGACGATCCTGGACCATCGAGCAAAAAAAAAAAAAAAAAAAGCGCGCACGAAACCGAAACATGCACGGGAAATGGACGTCCGAGCGATGGCGAAGGGGCCCGCCCCTGTCAGAAAAGGCAAGCGCGAGGTGGCGGCGGCGTGGTCCGCAGGGTGCGCAGGGCGGGCGCCCGCAGTCGCCAAGGCATCGCTGCTCCTTGGCCGGGGTGCTGCGCCCGCACGCCGCGGGCGCCCCCTGCCAGGAGGCGGTGCAGAGTGATCGCGGGCCCCTCGCGCATGATCAAAGATCAGGAGGAGGAAAAAACACACAGACATAATGAATCGTCGATTCCCAGGGAAATCTGGAAAAATATGGGAAGTGAGGGACGACAAGAGCCCAGAAAACATGGGGAAATGTGGGGAATCCGGTCATTTGTGTGTATTTATTTGTGTGTCGCAGGGCCCCTTCAAAAGATGCTGCAGCAGAAAGCATGCGGCACTGTCAGGCGCGGTCGGCCTCTGCACACACCTGGCAATATGCTCCCCTCCACCCCCCCCCCGCCGCCCCTGCCAGGAGATCGTATGAAGTGATCGCGCGCCCCCCCCCCCCACATGGTCCAACACTATGCCACAATGTCCGCTTTGAGGGAAGAATATCTGCATGGTTCCAGGTCGGCCGCCAGTCGAGTGGGGGAGGGGGCATTCGTCGAGAATGAGCAGCGATAGACCCCTCCCCGAAGGGGAAGAAGGGGGTTGGAAAACGAATCAAACAACCTAGACCCGCCCCAAAGGGCTGGTGGGATTCGGCGCAATGGTAATGGAGGTGGGAGGGGTAGGATGTCAAATCTGTCGAGAGCGCACGTAACTTGTCCTCCCGCTCTCCGTCCTCCTCCTCCTCCTGGACCCTACTTTGTTGGAGATTGCCGATTGCCGAGAGTTGAAGAGGCCGCATTCCGCTGCCATTTAGGCCCTTTCAGTTTCGCGCTGAACAGGGGCCTTCCGCCTGTGCATGCCGTGGGGGCTGGACGCCTTGGCGCGCGACCTGACGCAGGCCGCCACCACAGCGCTGGTGGTGCGGTCGGGCGTCCCGTCGTGCCCCGACTGTGTCTGCTCGCCCACGCTGACGTGCCCGCCGCTGACCTGCTCCTGCCCTGGCGGCGAGGGGTATCTCAACCCCACTGCCGCAGAGGGGTACTCGACGGCAGCGCTGGCGGTGGTCGCCGGCACCTGCCTCCTCCTGGGGGCTCCCGCAGGCGCCGCGGGCGCCCTCTGGGCGGTGCACCCCCGGGCGGCACCGAGCGCCAGCGCGCCGGGCCCGGTGGCGGCGCCTGGGACGCCTGGGACGCCCGCCGCGGCGCTGGCTGCGCCAGCTGAGGCAGAGGCGCTCGAGGACGTGCAGGCGGTGGCCGCGGCGCAGGCGAGGGCCTTCCGTCGGCCGCGGGCGGCTGGGAAGTGATGGCGGCGCCGCTTGCTGCTGGAGGCTTCTGCCTTACGAGGTACAACGTCGGCGGACTCGAGGTACACCATGAGCGGGTGGTCCTCTACGGGACTGGCTACGTGCTGACGCCAGATATGGACGACTACGGAGAGGGGCTGACGCCGGACGTGGACATCCACAGCGTGCGGCCGATCGCAGGGCAGGGAGGCCGCGCCGGCGGGATCGCGGAGGCTCGGACGTATCGCTTCCGCCGCCTGCCGACGCCGGCGGAGCTGTGGGCCGCGCTGCGCAGGGGAGCGGCCGCGGGGTTCGGCGTGCTCCCGGACTCGCCCTTCATGCTCGAGCTCTCGGCCGCGAACTGCGAGGGGCATCCTGCCGGGCCGCTGGAGGTCGCGGACCCAGTCGCGGCCCTGGCCCCTGCGGTGGCCATCGCGGGCCCAGCGGCGGCGCCAGCTGTGGCGGTGCCTGCCGCGGCGGGCGGACCGCCAGTGGCCGCCGCGGCCGCCGGCCCGGCCGCGCCGGGGGGAGCTGTGGCGGCTGCCCCTGGGCGTGCGCCAGCGGTGCCTGACGGCGCCCCCGTCCCGCCGCTGCCCTCTGGGGCTGCGCCGCCAGGGTGGGTGCGAGTGGCCGCCGAGGACGTCGACGGGCTCGTGGCGTTCGGCGAGGAGCTCCAGGTGGGTGTCGCCGGCGGAGTGCAGCTGGCCTGGCGTTCCGGGCGCCGGGGCGGCTTCGCGCTCCCCGTTGGTGGCGCCGCTTTCGGGATCCTGCTGCAGCAGAGCGAGGTGGCGTACTTCAGGCAGGAGTTCCGGGGTAACGACGCGCGGACGCTGGAGGTGCCCGCCGCGTCTGCGGCGTCAAGCGGGCCGGCGCGTGACTGGCGCGAGGTGGTCCAGCTGTGCCACCAGGAGCAGGTGGCCGACTTCGCGGTGCCGGGGCCGCGGACTGCCGCTTGGTGTGCGAAGTACCAGGTGAAGGAAGGTGGCCCGTCCCTCCATCATGATATGTGGAAAAGCCGCAGGAAGCTCACCTCGACGGACTTCGGCGTCGACATGCACGACACGCTCTCGCGCATGATTGAGGCCATGGGAGTGTCGGACCACCTCGACGTCTTCAACTTGGCGAGCGCGGAGATCGGATATCGCAAGCTCCAGTTGATCGAGCATTACTGGGACGACCGCAGTGCAGAGCAGCAGCAGAACAACAGCAAGATCCCCTAGGAGGAGAGCCAGGCCTTCATGGGCGGGGCTCGTGCGCCTTCGATGGCGCGCCCAGAGCTGCTCGACACCGCGTCGAAGGATTTGGAACGCATCTCAAGCATCAAGAAGAACGCCAGGAAGCTGAGGGAGGAGCAGGCCGCCGCCGCTAAGGTGAAGGCCGCTCCTCCCAGGACGGGATGATGCTGGGACCGCCGCCGGGGTTGCCTCGACCCGGTGGCGAACCTTCGGAGAGGCTGGTAGACAGCGACGGACACGTGCAGCGGTCGCTTCTGCCTTTGCCAGTCCCTGACTGGCGCAGTGCCCCTGGCGGCGCCTCGCGGGCGCGCTCTGCTCGCCGTCGTCGAGGGCATCGAGCGCATCAGGGCGAGCTTCTCACCGAGCTCGTCGTCGCGCTCAACCAGCTGGATGCCGGCTCAGACCTCGTTCGCAGGCAGTGTGAGGGCGAGCCCAGCAGGATGCAGCAGCTATGCCTGGAGCGCCTCGCCGAAAGCTGCGCGGCGATGGGCGCTCCGCCCTCTGATTTGTCGTCCGAGGTGGCCCTCCGGGAGCTCCAGGTCGGCACCGCCTACGGGGACTGCGACCCCGTCTCGGCGGCCCCCTTCGCGCACGACCTCGTCTCCTTGCCGGCTGTCGGTGGCGCCCGGGTGCCGCTGGACCAGCTGCTCGGGAATGACGGTCCAGATATCGTGCGGAGGTTCATGTCTTCCAAGGTTTTGTCAAATCATGACGCCGCTGAGGCAAAGAAGGACTCGGGTTTTGTGCGGCCGTACCTGGATCCAGTTCTCCGTCGGCGTGAAGACTACCTCGCCTTCATCAGCCGACTGGGCAAAGCTAACACGCTGGATTTCAGGCTCGACGGCGACGACTTCGAAGAGGTCGGGCTTTTCACAGTTTGGAAGAAAGACGGTCGCCAACGTCTGGTGATCGATTGCAGGGGCTCAAATTTGCATTTTGCAGAACCTAACAAGACCAGCCTCGCTAGCGGGGCCTGCTTCAGTCGCATGGAGCTGCAAGAGGGTGAGCAGTTGTGGACGGGGGGCGTGGACATAGCCGACGCGTTCTACAATATGGGTTTGCCTTGTGAACTTCGACGTTACTTTGCTCTTCCTCGATTGCGCGCCGCTGACCTTGGCCTCAAGGTCGTCGAGGGCCAGTCCATGTCGAGCCGAGCCTGGGTCCGCCCGTGCTTGGCGGTTTTGCCAATGGGCTGGTCGCACGCTCTCGACTTCTGCCAGCGGGTGCACCGCTCGATCGTGCTGGAAAAACGGGGCCCCCCTGGGGCAGCTGAGATCGTTGACGGACGTCCGCCTGCGGATGTGAGGGAGGGAGCTTCCACGGCCTACGTCGACAACTTCGTCGCCTTCGGCACGGGGCCCGAGAGGCCTGGTGAGATGTTGGACGCAGCTCGAAAAGCCCTTGAAGGTGTGGGCCTGCCGGTGCACCCGACCGAGGCGCCCGTCGCCGTTTCGGAGCAGCTGGGCTGGGTCTTCGACGGCGAGCGCGGAGCCTTGCGCCCCAAGAGTCGGCGCGTCTGGAGATTGAGGCTGGGGATTCTGGAACTCTTGAAGAAGGGGTACGCCACGGGTCGCCAGATCGGAAAGGTTGCTGGACATTATGCTTTCATTGCTCTCGCTCAGAGGCCTATGCTTCCCGTCTTCAGCGCCGTACACAGTTTCTCCCGGAAGTACTTCTCCCGAGTCATGAAAATCCCGCCTTCGTTTCGACGTGAATTTTAGTGGGCTGCCGCACTCCTCCCTCTGGCTTGGTCTGACCTTCGTGCGCCCTGGGGCCCCATGGTGCACGCGAGCGACGCGAGCGAGGAGGGGAGGGGGGCCTGCCAGAAGGAGGCCGACGTCGAGCTCGTCAGGGTTGCGGGTCGTGATGAGGAGAGGTGGAGGTTTCGTCATCCTGGAGTTTCTCGACCTCGCGATTGTCTCGGCGGGCCCGGGGACCCCGCGGAGGAGCCGGAGATCGTCGACGACTTCGAGGGGGTGAGCACGGAGGGCGAGAGGTGGAAGGTGCAGGAGGTTTCGAGCGAGCTGTACGGGGGCAGGTGGCAGGCGGTGTCCAGTGGAGGATGGGCCCGGGCTGAACATCATCGTCCTGGAGGGTCGGGCCATCGTTCGCTCGCTCCGGCACGCTCTTCGAGATTCGAAATCTTTTGGTCGTCGTCTCCTTTTCCTGTCCGACAACAGGGGGCTCGCATGTGCATTGCAGAAGGGGCGCTCGTCGGCTGGGGGGGTCCTCCGCATCACCCGGCAATGGGCTGCCTGGTGCCTGGCGGGAGGCGTGCAGGCCTCCGTCCGCTGGATCCCGTCGGAGCGCAACGTTGCGGATGCTCCGTCGCGCCGCCACACCCCCCTCGGCGTGTGGCTGGGCGGGGGCGCGGGCGGTGCTGAGCCGGACCTCGACCGCTGGGACGTGCGGGACGGGAGCCTCCGTAGCCAGCGCGCCGACGTCGCGGCAGCGGGGGCGGAGCTCGACGAGCTGGCCGTCCGTGGCGCCGCCAGCGGCCCCCTCCGGGGCGCCCGGCGCCCCCCGGCGGCTGCGGGGCAAGCGGGCGGCCGACGGGAGCGATTCTGCTCAGTCGGCGGTGCGCCGGCCTCGCCACGTCGGGGCGGCTGCCGCCGCTGCGCGGCGGCAGGGGCGCGCGGCGCCGGCGCGGAGAGCTGTTCGCGCGGCTCGCCGGCGGGCGCGGGCTGCGCCTCTGGTCACAGGGGGGACCTTTCTGCAGAGGGCCTCGGTGACGCCGAAGACGGTCGCGCAGTACGACACGCTGCGGCAGGACATCCTTCGGGCGTGGGCAGCGACTGCGCGCGTGACCGGCGCCGCCCGAGTGCCCGGCGACGACGACATGGACGGCCTGCTAGCCAGCTGGATGGACCGCGAGCACCTGGCCGGCGAGCTGTCGCAGCGCGGGACCAAGGCGATGGCGGCGGTGAAGTTCTTCCGGCCGCAGTTCAGCCGCACGGGCAGCCTCGCGCTGCCGCAGGCAGCACAGGCCTTGAAGGGGTGGAAGCGCCTCGCCCCTGGGCGGGCGCGGCTCCCGCTCCCTTGGGAGGTGGTGTCGCTGATCGCGCTCGAGCTGGTCGCCGCGGGCTTCTGGGCGATGGCTGCGTGGGTCGTCATCACGCTCCACTGCTACCTGCGGCCCAGCGAGCTGGGGCGGGTCACGCCAGAGATGATCATCGCGCCCACCCCGGGCACGCACATCTCGAGCTGGGCCATCGTCCTGCACCCGTCCGAGGAGGAGGTGAGCAGCAAGACGAGGGAGTTCGACGAGACCGTGGTGTTCGACCTCGCGGAGTTCAGCTTCCTCCACAGCGTGCTCGCGTTCCTCAAGAGGAGCGCGCCGCCGGGGCAGCCTGTCTTCGGCTTCCTGCACGCGGACCTCGTCCGCAACTTCAGGGCCGCGGCCGTGCGCGCCGGCGTCGAGTGCCTGGGCCCGGAGCTGCACATGCTGCGGCACAGCGGGCCGAGCCACGATCGGGCGCGGGGGCTGCGGACGCTGCAAGAGATAAAGCTGCGGGGGCGGCGGCACTGCGACTCGAGCGTGCGCAGGTACCAGAAGGAGGGCCGCCTGGGGGAGCAGCTGCAGAGGCTGCCAAGCGCCGCCCGCGAGCGGGCTGTCGGCTCGACGGCAGCGCTCCGGCCGGCCCTCGCGAGGCCTTTGCTCGCACCCTGGCCTCCAGGGGTGCCCGCCTCGCCCAGCCGCAGGTGTTTCTAGAGCTGTTCAGCGGGCACGGAGGCCTGTCTCAAAGCCCGCGGTCGCGCGGCTTCTTCGTCCTGGAGTGGGACAAGGCGCGCGGGCCGCAGTGGGACTTGAGCCAGCGGGCGACGCAGAAGTTGGTGAGAGGCTGGATTCTGGCCGGGCTCGTGTGGGGCGTGTTCATGGGCACGCCATGTCAGACTTGGACGAGGGCGCGGGACACCGGGCCCCTTCGAGATCCTGACAACCCTCGACCCTGCCTGCCATCCCGTCTTTGCAGTGATCAAGAGTTGATGGGCTTGAGTGACCTCAAGCATCCCGGCGATCTCGAGGCTGTGAGAGTAGGCAATATGTTGGCCGCCTTCTGTTGTGGCATCTTCGAACTCATGCACTTTCTAGCTCTGCCTGTCGCCATCGAGAATCCTGCCCGCTCGCGTTTGTGGCTCCCTCCTCGTCTTTTAAAGGCCAGCAGCTGGGCTACCTCTTCGTTCATTATTACAGACATGTGTCAGTGGGGGACGCCGTGGACGAAACCTGCCGGTGTTCTAGGCGATCGAATCGCTCTCGCACATCTTGCCTGTCGATGTTCAGGGAAAGTCTGTAGTCGCACTAATAAGCCTCACACGTCAATTCACGGGTTGGCACCAGCAGGTGGTTTCAAGACGAAGGCCGCCGAGCGCTACCCCCCTCGCTTCTGCAGTGCGCTCGCGGCCGCTTTCGACCAAGCCCACGGGAGCGCCAAGACGAAACAGCTTTCAACCCTTTTTTGCGTAAATGTGCTTTCCCCTGCAATGTTTAATTAATCGAGATGACCAACTGGAAAGTGTGACAGGGTTGCGTGTTGTGAGCCCTCGTCTCTGGCTAATGTTCTCAGTTCGCGCCCAGGCTCCGCTCGACGCGAACCGATCGTTTTCCAGAGCGGGTGCATCCTTGCCTAAGCTCGTCTGCGCCCAGAGGTGCCGCAGAAAAGAAGTCTCCTGGCCTTGGCAGCGGCGGCAGCAGGCATGGACCCTACTTTGTTGGAGATTGCCGATTGCCGAGAATTGAAGAGGCCGCATTCCGCTGCCATTTAGGCCCTTTCAGTTTCGCGCTCCCAGTCCCTCCCCCCCCTCGCGCGTGTTGTGAGCCCTCGTCTCTGGCTAATGTTCTCAGTTCGCGCCCAGGCTCCGCTCGACGCGAACCGATCGTTTTCCAGAGCGGGTGCATCCTTGCCTAAGCTCGTCTGCGCCCAGAGGTGCCGCAGAAAAGAAGTCTCCTGGCCTTGGCAGCGGCGGCAGCAGGCATCCTCCTC